AACCTATTTATTATACTTGGTCCTTATCATACAGACATTATTATTATTATTATTTGAAAAGGAGCGTAACGTGTACGCCATGGAAATTGGATATGGTTTGGCAGGTTATACCAGGTTGAATAAAAAAAAGTGAAACCCCCTTCTCACATTTTGGAAATGATCATTTAGTAAAAAAGCGTACGATCGATTCTTCAGCGCAAACCTACTCACCACAACTTTTTTTTTTTTTTACCTCGCGTGCTTAGATCCAACATAAGAAAAATCATAATAACGGGCAAGCTCCACATCGCGAGCCTGACCTGTCGTGGCGAATACTGTCTTTTTCCAGCCCAGATCTTATTGGTGTTTCGTTATGATTAGCGTCTATGCTTTATCGATCATATATATATATATTTTTCGTAGGCAGGAAACTGCATGAGATAATTTTACCCCTTATATTTATAGTTTTTGTGATGCTTTAGCCGTAAACAAGGGATAATCGATATATAATCGTAAATAAATAAAGCACACAAAAAATATGCCTGAAACAAAATGCTGCTACCAGTGAGATTCGAACTCACGCCTCTTTCGGGACCGCGTTATTGATAAAAATAATAATATCCTTTTGGTGATAAAAATGTTGCTACCAGTGAGATTCGAACTCACGCCTCTTACGAGACCGCAACTTGAGTGCGGCGCCTTAGACCAACTCGGCCATAGTAGCTTGGACTTGTTATAGGAACAAGTATTTAATATATTATAAATCCAAGGTAGCTGCAAAGCAGTCATCGATTGGCTCAACCAACTACAGTAAAGACCTCAGTAAATTTTAAAGGTATAGAGAATGACAAATTTTTTTTTTTTAAAAAACGGAGGCCATTAGCATATTCTTTAATCGATTCTCCCCACTTAACATGTGACGTTCACATAACTTGACTGTATATTTTTATAATGGATCTATATATTTTTATGATCAATTTTTTTTTATTTAAAATATTTATAATATTAAAAAGAATAGAAAATATAAATAAAATAAAATAATTATTATTTTATTTCTAAATTTTTATATTTCATTATTTCTTTTTTAAACTCTTATAATTTTTTTTTTTTTTTTTTTTTAAATAATAAAAAGCTAGTTAGCTTTCTCTTTAGGATTTTTAACTTAGTTATAATAACTAAGAACCATCAACTCCAGTTTTAAAGTATAAATTCTAGCACCCAAAATATAAATAAAAAATATAAAAATTCAATATTTACAGTGCAAATGGTTATTTATTAGCAGTAAAGGTTAACTTTAGATTACCCAGTTAATTGTTTTGTAAAGAAATAATAATAATTTTTTTTTTTTTTTGCAAAATGAATCTTTCTAAGCCACTGTAGTGACGGTTATTTATTTCTAAAATTAGCCACTGTCGTGACGGGATTTTTCTCACTTTAAAGTTTGATATCACGTGATGAGGTCTTTAGACTTCCCGTACTGTAAGGAGCTGGCAAACGAGAACGCGTCAGCAGCGGCAACGTTTGTTACCCGTAAACAAGTCGCGTTTTTTGACCTTTGAAAACACGCGACACGCATACCTAAATGGCGCGCGTGTGTGTACGTGCAATCGCGTCGTTTCTTCAAATGTTGGTGACGCCTAGTTCTCAACATTTCATATGTGTAATGGTATAACGATAATAGAATCTCTATATGGTAATCAGTGCAGCAAAACACGCGGTCTTGGGAATGAGTCCATTACATGTTTCTGGACATGATTTCTATTCACTTCTACCCATATTGCAACAATTAGAAATCCCCTTTTTTTCTCATTCGTGCGTGTGTACATTGGCATTATTCGCTACTATCGATGATTGGTTTAGGGAACAGATATGAAAACGTGTGTACAAAGGGGTCAAGGAGGACAAAAAAAAAAAGCCATTAAACGCATTAAACGCATTAAACGCAAGAAACTGCAGTGTTTTGAAATGTATGAAAGGAAACAAAATGTATGATACAGATGAAAGGGGGAATGAAGACAAAGGGAGAAGGGCTGCAGCAACATGCAACAAGGAGGGGCTACTAAAAATAGACGCTAAAATTGTACAGATACTATCGAACCGGCGAAAGTCCAAGAGCGTAAAATGCAAGAAAAACTGTCCGAGCGGCCATCGTCCAATACGTCATGGACGAGGCGCGCGCAGAAAGAAGAAGAATGTTCATTTGGAGAGGTGGAGACCAGTAATTGTTCCGTTTACATTGCAGAGAATCAGACGCAGAGAATTAGACGCACAGACACGAGCCGCAAAATCTAGGCCACACCCACATTACACCGACGCAGACACCACAGGCGGTCAACCGAGCCCGAGACGCGGCGCAAGAGGCTGGTTTAACTAAGGCTTCCTGAACTCTGTGAGTACAGGATAGATGGCTTGGAAGGCTTGGTAAATCTCTTCGCGGACCTGGAAAGAGTAAGGGGGTATAGACATGTTAAAAACCAAACCGATACTAGATGCAATGTTTAGCTATGATGACGCCCATAACAGAGTGGCATACTTTAGCACCCGTGAGGACAATCTTTCCAGAGACGAAAATCAACAAGACAATTTTGGGCTTGACCATGCGATAGATGAGACCAGGGAACAATTCAGGTTCATACTGTGGCATTGGAAGAAATACATACACAGACTGGGTATCAGCGTCTGTACCGAATACAAACACACACATATACCAGCAATACACCACCAATTACTCACAGAACTGAAGTGCCCATGAGAATAGGCGAGACCCTCCAATCTGATTGGGAACTTGACATCACACGAGCCCACGATGTTCTGGATTTTGAAGTCAGTGAACTTGGCCTGAAAACCCAGCTTCTGGATAATACGGGCGTACTTGCGCGAGGCAAGCTTAGAGTCATCTTCCGACTTGGCGCCCGTCACGACCATCTTGCCCGACGCGAAAATGAGTGCCGTCGTTTTCGGTTCACGAATACGCATAATCACCGCAGCGAAACGCTTTGGAAGGGATAGGTAGGGGGGGAGGGGGGGTTGTCACACAGAGGTTTAAACATCTGATGGACTATATGGTACAAGCTCGGGTAGCTCGACGACTCCCTTACTTTAAATTGGCAAAAATGCCCACGACAATCCCTCATACTAGCCATGTCTACCCTTGAAGGATATATACCTTGGGGTTGTATTCGGCATTGCGTGCATGCAGAGCGATGGTTTTCAGGTCAAGACGACAATCGAGGTTCACAGTCGCAACAATGTTCCTGAAAAAGGAAAATGGAGAAGCATAGTAACGGTCAGAGATCAGCAATGAAGAATCATAATCTTACAAGTGGAGGATTACAATTTACGTGTCCATTTCAAACATGGTGTTGGATGACACACAAGGTATAATGTACGTATAGGATATGGTAGAGTAAAAATGTTGCAGAGAAGGATCGCCGAGAAGACCGGTAATTTCCCAGCGGTCCTTCCTTCCTTTATTTGTCAAGATCGTTACAGAGTCCTCTTTGGAGAGGCTTGGCGAAAGCTTATATCGACCGATGGGTACGTGTTCGAGCACTCTACATCCTGTTTAGGTGGTAGTCTATCTGTATTATAGGGGGTACTTACTGGAGTGTAGGAGTGATGCCTGCGACAGCGTAAGGATTATGATCTTTGCTGCCGGGAGTGGGCGCGTCGATGGGAGCCGGGGTGGAAGGAAGGATAGGTGCAGGGGTTGAAGGCAGGGCGATGGGCGAGGGCGAGGGATGGGGGATAGCAGGGACGGCAAATGTAGACATTGTTGTAGGTGTAGTGTTTTTTAGGGGGTAGTCCGTCCGTAGAGAGAGCAAGAAGCGCAATTTATAGGTGTGCGGTTCGAGGATTTGGGGGTTGTCTGGATGGCTGCTTATATACCTTTTTGCCACCATATAAATATTTACAATAGAATTGTCAATCAAATGAGTAATATCCTCCGCAGCCAATCACATGGCAGTCACCAGCCAAAAAATTTTTATTACGAAACCAGCCGGTCACAGTAAATCACGGTCCTTATTCCCTGTTTCTCCACTTCCCAACTATGTGAACTAGGCACGCCCCTCCGCCCTCCGCTACAAAGAACAAAGACAATCGACAAGGGTGCACTCTATGGACGGCCACTTCCCTGCCCAAAGGCAGAAAGCGGCCCAGAATAATCTGTAATATATATATATATATATTAATATATATATATATTATATAGCCCAAGGCAAAGTTGGATCGATTTCCATGCCCCGCCGGATTGCATGAAACAGCCAATTTAAATAAATTTGATTTTAATAATTCAACAATGCAACAAGTATCCCGCAAAATAGACTGGTATATATAACCCTCAAACATGCATAGCACTTGAACGAATGTATAGTATCCGTGAATCTTGGCACTAACATTCAAGACAGCTAACTTTAAGGCTTACTCTAGACCAAGGCCATACACGCTCCGCTATTCGTCATTCGTCATTCGCCATGCCCACCCCAACACCGCAAGAGTCTCATAGAGATCTGGGACAACAGAAGATGATTAAAGCACCATCCATCGTTGGTCGCATCCCTACTCCAACCTGGCGCTTTTTTGACACACAAAGATAAAAAGGCCCATCCGCAGAGCGGAACAAAACAGAACCCGATTTTCTGTGTCTCCCCCCTTTGTATGTAACCAAAAGCACAGTCACTATCGCTCGCCTGCCTCCCGGGTTGGTTGCGCCGTCACGTCACGCTTGTTTGGCTTGATTGGCCCACGTACGCCGATTGGTGTGCTGACTCATTGACTCGGGTTTCCCCCGTGATCAAAACCACTTATAAATTGGTATTATGGTGGGAAAATCTCTTCTTCATGGGGATTCGGCATGCGTTTGCGCCTTTTCGTGCCGCCGGCCGCCAGGACGGGAAACTAGGGTGTTTCGATGAAATGGTAAGGGCTGCAAGAATGCATTAGTTAAGTAGGGTGTTGTTCTGGTTGTCTGACTTGCCCTTTTCGAAACGCATACATGAAATATTTTTAATTTTTGGGAAACTCGCCACTTATTCTTTATCTGCCGAGATGATCATTTGGTATGTTGCATATGACTTGCCCACATTCAAACACGGATGATAAAGCTATCTTAGTGAGGGCATGTGCCTATGTATGGCCTAAGCAAACAAATAAGTTGCGCACAATGATCATACCTCATTCCTGAAAGCTTTGTGTGTATTGAAATACTCCCTTGTAATGGTACAAACGGCCTTGCTTACACACTGTTTACACACTGTTCTGTGCGGCCAGCTACAGTAAGCATGATGTCAACGAAATCTTAAAAGATTACCATCACCAGCACTCCTTAACTTTGTACACCGTCATCATCGGGCTCCTAGTCCTAGTGCTTGCATACAGTTCTTGGGGCATGCGCCGGGCATATAAAGCTTGATGGCCGCAGCGTTGATGGGCAGTTGAAGATTGTGATAGAGGATGGAGAGTGGAATATACGAATATATTGAATCATAAAAATAAAAATTAAAAATTAAACACGAAAAACTCACTTCTAGCACCCTGCCGATAATTCCTCCTTTCCCCTCCTCGTTCGACACCCTTTCCCCTCGTTCGACACGAACTTGCCCTTTGACCCCCGCGTGGATCCTCCTCTATCCCAATCGGCAAATTCATGAGTCAGCCGCTCGTGTTCGATTAGGTTGTCCTAGCCAAGTAATGAGAAAGAGGGTTTTTGGGGTGAACCCAGGC